CCAAGTCAAGGCTGCGGTGGCCGGGAGTGGCCACTGCACTCCAGTCTGGGTGACAGAGAGAGACTCCAACTCAAAAAAAAAAAAAAAAAGAGCAAGAGAATACAGACAGAATGGCAAATCTATCATCACTTTGTAAAACAACTCTAGAATTGAAGTGTTATTAGAAAGGGAAACTTTTTTTCTGCTTACGTATAGATTTTTGTAATTGCTATATAATAGTTGTATATATTTTAGGGTACATGTGATATTTGGATATCTGTGTACAATGTGTAATGACCAAATCAGGGTAACTGGGATATCCATCAAGTCAAACATTTATCTTTTCCTTGTGTTGAAAAGAAGGGAAAACATTTTTATCACATATCGCTTTTTTTTGTTGTTTTTTTTTTTGGATTTGGAGTCTCACTCCATTGCCCAGACTGGAGTGCAGTGGCCACTCCCGGCCACCGCAGCCTTGACTTGCTGGGCTCCAGCGATCCTTCCACCTCAGCCTTCCGAGTAGCTGGAATTACAGGCATGCGCTACCATGCCCAGCTGATTTTTTGATTTATTGTGGAGATGAGGTCTCGCCAAGTAGCCCAGGCGGGTCTCGAACCCACGGGCTCAGACAATCCACTCACCTCAGCCTCCCAAAGCACGGGATTACAGGCTGAGCCACCGAGCCTGGCTATCACATATCATTATTGCTAAATGACCTTGCTGTTAACTCTTACCCGATCCCGTCCAATTGGCAGTGGGTGTGCTGTGTACATGTTTCTTTTGCCATCATAGCCAGGCTGTCGATCACCGAATATTTGCATCTTGAAGTGTCGCACCATTGTATCTACTACCTCCCTTCACAGTAATGGAGATAATGACAGTTAGCTTTCAGAAATGATGACCAGTAAGAAAAGTATCACCATACTTTAATCATTTGAATTCAGTTCCATACTATTTGGGAAAAGTAAAAGTTAAGGTTACAACTGATTCACGTAATTTAAAAAGTTAACTAAAGAAAAGTATCAAAAAGTATACAAAAACAACTATAAGATGATAACAGCAATGGGAAATAAAAAGAAAGAGAGCACAGAATTTATGGCATCCTCTCAAATGGCTCTTTCCAAATTCCTCTTCTATGATAAATACAGCCCTAAAAGAACAACCTATTTTAGATACCTAAGTTTGGCATGGATGTTCATCAGTGATGATAAGTTTGTTATCAAATCAACATTCTTATTCAAGTATATTGGTTTGAGGAAAGAAAATGTGCAGAAATTCAAAAATCTGAAGATCAGTAAGTGTAAGATGCATGATACACAAGCAAATAAGTCAACCCCTTTGCCTAATGCTGGTGATTTATTATTCTATATATGACTTTTTTGCCCCAAAGTGCTCCCAAGTAGTGTAGATAAGGGAACACAGTAAAATATTCTAATTCCAAAAAGATTACTAATATAGTTTATTTGTTTTTAGAATGAAAGCCTTTCTCTCAATCAAGTATGCATAGCAGCTTTACTTAAGAGTTTTTGGATATATGCCAGATCACACCGTATATAGGCCCTGGAATAAATGCAGCAGCAAGGAAACAGAGTATAGAGTTTAAGGTATGGACAGATTTGAGCCTATGAGATTTTTGAATGCTAGAGGCAATGAAAACCTAGGTATTTTGATTCACCAATGTTAGTGAGTTTTATATGTGGGAGTCATATCTTAAAAGTCAAGATATATCACAACTAGCTAATGTATTATTAATACAAATGAAATCCGTGAGAAAATCATGTTTACAAATCAAATTATGTAACTGAAAAAAATTGATGGAGCAATGTGATATATACATTCCCCATTTTAAAAAAGGCAACTTAAGGCCCAGGCATGGTGGCTCATGCCTATAATCCCAGGAATCTGGGAGGCTGAAGTGGGAGAATTGCTTGAGGCCAGGAGTTTGAGACCAGCCTAGACAACATAGTAAGTTTTCATTTCTACAAAAATTTAAAAATTAGCCAGATGTAGTGATGCATGCCTATACTCTTAGCTATTTGGGAGTCTGAGGCAGAAGGATTACCCGAGACCAGAAAGTCAAGGCTGCGGTTATCCATGATCATGGATAACAGCACTCCAGTCTGGGCAACACAGTGAGACCTCAACTCAATAAATAAATAAATAAATAAATAAATAAAAAGGGTAACAAGAATTATAATTTTCATACTAGAAAAGAGTAATTTCTCATCTTACATTATTAAATTATGACCAAAGAGTTTTACAGTTAAGAGATATTTTCACCTCTATTCTCATTTAATTTTCACAACAAACTTGTGAGATAAGTAGGGAAATGATTATTGTTATCATGTTAAAGAGAGAGAGAAAAGAAAAAAGAAAAATTCAGAATGGGCAAACCACCTGCTTGTGGCCACTCAGTGATTAAGTGACAGAGCTTCATGACATTGGACAAGTTGCTTAATCTTTGACACGTCTGTTTCTTAAATTGTAAAATATGATAATAATACTTCCCTCAAAGGCGTTTTTTTTTTGAGTCAGAGTCTCACTCCATCGCCCAGGCTAGAGTGCAGTGGCCACTCCAACATCGACCTGCTGAGCTCTGGTGATTCTTCCGCCTCAGCCTTTTATGTAGCTGGAACTACACGTGCGCACTACCACGCTTGGCTAATTTTTGATTTATTGTAGAGATGAGGTTTCACCAAGTTGCCCAGGCGGGTCTCGAACCTGTGGGCTCAGGAAATCCACTCATCTCGGCCTCCCAAAGTTCTGGGATTACAGGCTGAGCCACCAAGCCCAGCCAAAAGGTGGTTGTTTTAAGTGAAGAAATATACATAGAGCATTTCAAATGGTGCGTGTACCACAGTAAGCCTACTAAGATCTAGTCATGGATATCATTCCAGAATTTTCTTCTCTCCTGAATATCAAATTTTTCCTCTTTACTAGATTATTCCCTTCAGCATACAAATATGCTACAATTTCTATCACCTTAAAAAAACTAAGGATGGCATGGTGGCTTATGCCTGTAATCCCAGCACTTTAGGAGTCTGAAGTGGGAGGATCACTTGAGGTCTCGGCAACATAGCAACCGGCCTGGTGGCCGATGTCTGTGCCTGTAATCCCAGCTGCTTGGGAGGTCAGGGCAGAAAGATTTCCTGAGTCCATGAGATCAAGTCCGTGATCATGCCACTGTACTCCAGCCTGGGCAACAGAGGAAATTTTCTTTTTTTTTGAGTTGGAGTCTCACTCTATCACCCAGGCTGGAGTGCAGTGGCACACTCACAGTGACCACAGCCTCGACCTGCTGGACTCAGGCGATCCTTTCGCCTCAACCTTCCAAGTAACTGGAACTACAGGCACGCACCACCATGCCTGGCTAATTCTTTGATTTATTGTAGAGATGAGGTCTCACCAAGTTGCCCAGGCTAGTCTCAAACCAGCAGGCTCAGGCAATCCTCTCACCTTTGCCTCCCAAAGTGCTGGGGAAACTTTCTTAATCTCACTTTCTCTTCATCTGGACATCCCATTTCTCTGCTCCCTTTTGCACTAAAATTCCTTGAAGGAGTTGACTCTAATTCCTCTTTCCCTTTCTCTCTTGAGCTTTCCCAAGTAAGGTTTTTCCTCTATCAAAACTACTCTTATCAAGGTCTCCAATGAGCTCCACATTGCTAAATTCAGGGTTCCTTGAACATTCATGACAGTCTTGCAACTTAAAAAGTTTCTTCTTTACCTCCAGAGCACCACTCTCCTGGTTTTCTCTTATCTCAATGGCCTCTCCAGTAGTCCCCCCATGATACTTCTTCATCTCCTTTAATCTTTAAATTAAATATTTAAATATTAGAGAGCCTCAAGGCTTCACCTTGGAGTCTCATTTTCTCTAACCACATCCATTTCTAACATAATTTCATCCATCTCATGGCTTTACCACCAATTAGGCTCATGATTCTCAAATGTTTGTCTACTGCCTGGTCCCCTGAACCCAACCTCATATACTGTATTCAACTTTCTGTTCAACATCTCCACTTGTTGTCTAATAGAAATCTCAACCCTAACATGTCCAAAATGCACAGGTTTCCTGATTCTGCTTCTCTCAGAGTTTCCCATCTGATAAATGACAACTCCTTTTCCCACTTGCTCATGACAAAAACCCTGAAACTGGCCAGGTTCCGTGGCTCAGCCTGCAATTCCAGCACTTTGGGAGGCTGAGGCGAGTGGACTGCCTGAGCCCGCGGGTTCGAGACCAGCCTGAGCAACTTGGTAATACTTCATCTCTACAATAAATAAAAAATTAGCCAGGCGTGGTAGCACTCGCCTGTAGTTCCAGTTACTTGGAAGGCTGAAGTGGAAGGATCTCCTGAGCCCAGCAGGTCGACACTGGGGTAGCAATGAGTGTGCCACTGCACTCCAGCCTGGGGGAGAGAGTGAGACTCTACCTCAAAAAAAAAAAAAAAAAAAAC